CCTCAGCCTCCCAAAGGCGCGGGATTACAGGCTGAGCCACCGAGCCTGGCTTTGTTTATACTTTTTGAAGGTACCCTTGTTAATCTGATCATAAAGAGATGGAGACTGACGGCCAGGCATGGTGGCTCACGCCTGTAATTCCAGCACTTTGGGAGGTGGAGGTGAGAGAATTGCTGGAGTTTCAGACCAGCCTGGGCAACTTGGCAAGACCTGGTCTCTACAAAAAAAATCTAAAATTCAGTTAGACATGGTGGCATACTCCTGTAGTACCAGCTACTCAGGAGGCTTAGGAGGGAAGATCACATGAACCCAGGAGGTCAAGGCTGTGATTGTGCCACTGCATTACAGTCTGGGTGACAGAGTGAGACCTGGACTCAAAAAAAAAAAAGAGAGAGGCTGAGATGAGAAGAGACAGACAAAATCAGGCAAAGAAATAAGACTTGGGCCGGGCTCAGTGGCTCAGACTGTAATCTCAGCACTTTGGGAGGCTGAGGTGAGTGGATTGCCTGAGCCCGCGGGTTTGAGACACATCTGGGCAACTTGGCAAGACCTCATCTCTACAATAAATCAAAAAAATTAGCCGGGCGTGGTAGCGTGCACCTGTAGTTCCGCCTACTTGGAAGGCTGAGGCAGGAGGATCACCAGAGCCCAGCAGGTCGAGGCTGCGGTGGCCGGAAGCAGCATGCCACTGAACTCCAGTCTAACAGAGTGAGACTCCAACTCAAAAAAAAAAAAAAGACTTGGAAAAATCAATAAAAAATACCGAGGGTGGGATAAAGAGGAACCACCAGACAGACAATGAGGGAAATAGAGAGAAATTAACAAAGAAAAAAATTTTAAAAAAGAAAATGAGGCTGGGCTCAGTGGCTCAGCCTGTAATCCCAGTGCTTTGGGAGGCCGAAGTGAGTGGATTGCCTCGAGACCCGGCTGGGCAACTTGGTGAGACCTCATCTCTACAATAAATCAAAAATTAGCCGGGCATGGTGGCGCTTGCCTGTAGTTCTGGCTCCTTGGAAGGCTGAGGTGAAAAGGATCTCCGGAGCCCAGCAGGTCAAGGCTGCCGTGGCCAGGAGTGGCCACTGCACTCCAGTCTGGGCAACAGAGTGAGACTCCAACTCAAAAAACAAAACAAAACAAAACAAACAAAAAAAGAAAATGGAGAGAGACACAGCTCAGACTTCAGATGCCGGAGCCCAGAGTGGAAGGGAGACCCAGAGAAATGAGGAAAGACTGGGAGAGTCAGAGATGCCAAAATCCAGAGAGAAACTTGAGACGCCTAGGTACAGAGACATCCACGTGATAGAGAAAGGAGACAGAAAAAGACATCACATACCCACAAAGCAAGACAGACTAAAGTGCCGGGCATGCTGCTGGGAGATTACAAATCCCCATTGGCTCTGAGGACCCTGAGACAATGGGAGAAGCTGCCTGTCCTCCTGGGCATTTCTCTGAGGTCAGGAGTTTCATGTCACCTCAAGGAAGGTACCCGACCATCCCACACCACAAGCTATGGTGGGCCACATCCAGCTGGCAGATGAGCCATTGGGACAAAGAATGTAAAAGGATTGGGTACAAAGTAAGAAATAAAGAAGGCCGGGTGTGGTGGCTCATACCTGTAATCCCAGTGCTTTGGGAGGCCAAGGCAGGAGGACTGCTTGAGGCCAGGGGTTCGAGATCAGCCTGGGTAACACAGTGAGAAGTCACCTCAAAAAATTAAAAAAACAGCTGGGTATGCTGCATACCTGCAGTCCCAGGGCTCAAGAAGGATCCCTTGAGCACAGAAGCTCAAGACTGCATGAGCTATGACCGCACCACCGCACTCCAGCTAGGGTGACAGAGGGAGATCCTGTCTCAAAAAAGAAAAAAAAGGATGGGTGCAGTGGCCCAGGCATATAATCCCAGCACTTTGGGAGGCCGAGGTGAGAGGATTACCTGAACCCAGGGGTTCGAGACCAGCCTGGGCAACTTGGTGAGACCTCATCTGTACAATAAATCAAAAAATTAGCCAGGTGTAGTGGCACGTGCTTATAGTTCCGGCGACTTGGAAGGCTGAGGCAGAAGGATCGCCTGAACCCAACAAGTCGAGGCTGTGGTGGCCAGGAGCGTGCCACTGCCCTCCAGCCTGGGTGACAGAGCGAGATTCCTACTAAAAAAAAAAAAAATTAAGCAGGGCTGGGGGTGTACAGGCAGGGCTCTGTAATGTGACAGAGCCTCCACTATGTCCCATACAGCCCAGGACTATTGTCCCCAACACAGCCAGGAGTGTCACCATCAAAGACCAGGAGTGTCCCATCAAAGCCCAGCAATTTCCTCCACACTCCAAGACAGTCCCCACATCAAAGCCCAGGAGAGACCCATCACAGGTCAGTGCTGTCCTTGTCTCAGTCAAGGACTTTCCCTATCACAGCCTAAGCTGTGTTCCTGTCAAAAGTGTTCCTGTCACCGCCCCAAAGGTTAAGTCAAAGCCCAAAACTGCCCTTGTCACAGCCCAGGACTGACCCCATCACCTCTAGAACTGCGCCTTTATTGCCTAGGACTCTCCCGTCACAGAGCAGGGCTGTTCTCTGACAGTCCAAGACTCTCCACATCACAACCCCAGAATGTCCCTGTCACTTCCCAGGACCTTCCCACCAGAGCTGAGAACTGTCCCAACACAGCTCAGGAATTTCCCCCGTTAAATCCCAGGGCTTACTTCCTGTACACAGGTTTGAAGAAAAAAAAAAGTCCCAGGGTTATCCTTTTCAAACTCCAGGACTATCCCTATGTCACTGACTAGGCCCTTCCCTGTAAGACTGTCCCTGCTGTGGCCCAACCCTGTTCCTTTTATTCTTCAGGACTGTACCCATCATAGTTCAGGACTCAGTTTTAGACTATCTTTATTACAGGATAAGACTGTCATCAGAGCCAGGGCAGTCCCATCAAAAGGTCAAAATTGCTGGGCATGGTGGCTCATGCCTGTCATCCCAGCACTTTGGGAGGCCGAGGCGAGAGGATTGCCTGAGCCTGCAGGTTCGAGACCAGCCTGGGCAACATGGTGAGTCCTTGTCTCTACAATAAATCAAAAAATTAGCCAGGCATGGGGGCACACACCCGTGGTTCCAGCTACTTGGAAGGCTGAGGTGGAAAAGGATCGCCTGAGCCCAGCAGGTGGAGGCTGCAGTGGTCGTGAGCATGCCACTGCACTCCAGCCTGGACAACAGAGTGAAACTCCAATTCAAAAAAAAAAAAAGTCAAAACTATCAGATTACACCAGAACTGCCATGACAGGACTCTCCAAGCCACAGCCCCAGCTATACCTGTCAGAGCCCAGGACTGCCCCACCACAGCCCTGGTATGCCATCATCCAAGCCTAGATTGCCTCTGGCATATCCAGGACTAACCCTGTCAATCACCAAGACCCAGAGAAAGAAAGAAACTCTGCCCTGCTATTCATCTGCTGGGATAAGGAAGAGCCTCAGATAAAGTCAGGTGCAAGGTCAAAAGGAAACACATCTCCAAAGACTGGGCAGCAGCTGTCAGGGGCTGTACCCCACCCCTTCTTTGTTTCCTTCCTCACTGAGAAAACTTGTTCTCTAACATCAGAGGCTCTTGGAAACTCTACTGTGTGACATACTATCAGTAAGAACCAACTGATAGTTGAAGGACCTGTCACTTTGACAGAGAAGCTGCCTCAGTTTCCATCCAGGTGCAAAGCTTCAGATCCGGGTTTTGGAAACACCCCATTCCCCATCTATCCTTCATTCACGTTTAGTTCCAGGAAAACAGGACGTGGGTCCAATTTCTAGCTGAAACTTGAGGTTGAACTCGGTGCCCCCACCCCTAGAGGTCCTGGGCCCTTTTATTACATCTCTCCTGTGGAAATAGGGGACTGACTGCCCCCTCCCTAACGCCCCCCACCTCACCCCTAGGGCTTCTTTCTCCAAGTCACCCCCTCCCCTCCCCCGCCCCAGTATCAAGCTTTTCCCATGATAGGCTCCCCCTCCATGTTTCCCACTTTAAACTCCGGGTCCAGGTCCCCTCCCCACCCATGACACGCCCCACCCTATCTGCGTCTTCCCACTCCCTCCACCCCAATGCCTCGTGCTACTTTCCAAGCCCCCCCCATCCTTCTCCGCGCCCCGCAACGGAACCCCAACGCCGGAGGAGCTGCGCCAAGCCGGACGGGCTGCGCGCGAGTGGTCTTCCCGGAAGTGCGCCTCCCCCGGGATTCCCCAGCCCTCTGGCGTGGGGCTGCGGACCCACCTGCCCCAGTACGGCTGCGGCCATGATCCGTGCGGCGAGTAACTCTGCCCGCCTCGGGGCGCGGCCCCGGAGAAAGACGTTCCGGCCCCGCCCCGCTCACGCCCCCTCCCGGGGGATGGCGGCCTGCCCGGCTGCCCCAGGCCGGTCAGGCCTCCCCAGTTGTAGGGCTCCCGCAAGGAGCTGGACCCTGCTGTAAAGCGCAGGCGCTGAAAGGGGAAGGAATTTGATATCCAGTCCCCACCCAGGCTCTGTGCCAGCCGCGCTCATGCCGGGCAAGAACGTGCATGCAGCGGTTTTCAAAAATGCATTTTCTCAGGGACTGTCGCCGAGCCCTGGCGAAAATAAGCAGCCCGCGGTAAGAGACGGGCAAGGCAAGGAGCCGGAAGCTCCGTGGATGACGATCCCCCTGCGAAAAGGAAAAGCACGCTAGAAACATCAGTGGGCACAAACATCACGTGAGTGCACAGGAAGAGGAAACTGCCGGGCTCGGTGGCTCAGCCTGTAATCCCGCGCCTTCGGGAGGCTGAGGTGAGGGGATGGCCTGAGCCCGCGGGTTCGAGACCCGCCTGGGCAGGCGAGACCTCATC